GATCCCTTTTAGTTGTTAAAATACCATCTTTATTCCAAGAAATCATCTTTTTATTAATCATAATGGTTTGGTATCAAAATATAGGATTCCATAACTCAAAAATCATTTTTTCTAAATAACAATTGATTAATATATGATAGGAAATTCAATTATTAGCTATTAGTTTCATTTTCTTCAATAGTGTAGGGTGACAGTCTACTGTCACTTTTGATAATCTACTGTCTGATGTTCAGAATGGGCTGATAATCGATTATCACACTCTGATAATCGATTATCAAACTTCAGAGAGGGCTGACAGTCGATTATCACATTTTGATAATCGACTGTTGTTCAGCTTTGTTGCAAAAATCTGCAGAACGATGAATAATCAATTTTCAAGTTGATAATCGATTATCCATCATCTTCTACCTCGAGCCAACTTGCGGAAATGTCACTTTTACTCACCAAACTTCAATTAAAGTATATAAAAGTGTTCTCCAAGGTTCATAGATCATTTTGGCATCATTAATTCATAGTTTTAACATTAACATCATGGTTTACGATTCTTAGTTCTTCAAACATGTCAAACACAAAACTCAAACAAATGAATGTTTATGAACGTAAAATCGATCTATATGAACATTCTAGTCACTAGATATATCTACGGGCTTACCTTGAAACCTAACGAAGATTCCGGCGAAAAAACGGCGAAACTTCCGGCGACAAAAGCTCCTAACTCCGACGACCTCTCACTAAAATGGCAGCACCACAATACTCCTCATACTCTCAGGAATAATTAGAAGGAAAAATGAAGAAGAATGGTGTAGAATTGATTGGGTTGGGTTCTTATTGTATAGAATGGTGAAGAAGAAGAGGACACTTCTCCAAGTAGATGCTGCGTAGGAAATTTTCTAGTGCGCTGAGAGGCGCCGTCTCCACAGTGTCCCTGATTGGGACCAATTTTGGTTCCAGTTGGGTTACACTTTTTGGTCCAACTTTCTCCGAATTGAAATCTGTTTGCACCGTTGCGGCCAGACAGTCAAGCTCTATTCCACGACATAGGTTTTGTATTTATTCGTTATACTTTTTTCGATATCATATTTTTGGGTATTTGACTTTGAGAGAGTCAAAATTGATTTGTTTGACATTTACTATAAAAGGTGTTATATTCAATTCATATTATTTATTCTCATGATTTATTTCAATAAACCATTTCAAAGTAAACAATTTATTTATTTATTCTTAATTTGGGTCTGTACTCAGGTTCCCAATCAAGACCACACAAATACTCAACATATTGATTTATCTCTATGAGACTTATCCTGATTTGTGATATTGGATGTCAAAACACATTTCATTTCGGCCTAAAGCCCAATAACTATTTATTTTAATCGAAACAAATTTGACTAATTGAATATTTATTCATTAAAAATTTTAGGGTATGTTTTGGGGCGTTTTATATATATATATATATATATATATATATATATATATATATATAGGATTGACTCCAATGAGATGACACTTTACGGTGAGATGACATGCTTCGGTGAGATGACGCAAAGCTCACCAATGGCTAATGTAAAGCTCACTTAGAAATAAAGCAAAGCTCACCACTTTGAACACCAAAACTCACTTTTTTTTAATTTGGAAATTAAAAAATCAATAAAAATAAAATAGCAACACCGATCAACCACCGGTCAGCGGAGGCGGCGCGGCGGAGACCGGCGGCGGTAGTCGGCAGCGGCAGGCGGCGGCGGAGGACGGCGGAGGCCGGAGGCGGCAGAGGTCGGCGGCTGGCGGCCTGCGGTGGCCGGCGGCAGTAGGGGATTGCCGGTGATGGTCAACAGTCAATGGTCAAAGTCTAGTGAGCACCCCTTCATTTGATTTTTTTTTAAAAAAATTCAAAGTATTGAAAAAATATGATGAGCTTTGTCTTATAGTTTGGTGAGCTTTGTAGTTGTCCTTGTTGAGCTTTGCAGTGGCAAGTGGTGAGCTTTGCGTCATCTGATCGTAGCATGTTATCTCACCGTAACTGGAGTCAATCTATATATATATATATATATATATATATATATATATATATATATATATATATATATATATATATATATATATATATATATATATATATATATCGAGAGTACATTTTATTGCACAAGAGGAAAACTGTATAGTCCGTGGGAACATTGATCCATTCTTGGAAGATTGGAAATAAATTGTGAAAAAAATAAAAAAGGAAAGNAGTTTGGTGAGCTTTGTAGTTGTCCTTGTTGAGCTTTGCAGTGGCAAGTGGTGAGCTTTGCGTCATCTGATCGTAGCATGTTATCTCACCGTAACTGGAGTCAATCTATATATATATATATATATATATATATATATATATATATATATATATATATATATATATATATATATATATATATATATATATATCGAGAGTACATTTTATTGCACAAGAGGAAAACTGTATAGTCCGTGGGAACATTGATCCATTCTTGGAAGATTGGAAATAAATTGTGAAAAAAATAAAAAAGGAAAGAAAAAAAAGTCGTCAGAAATGTCAGCACAGAGGTTCCTTCTTTGCAGTTCCCTAAATATTTGTCACATTATTTATGTAAAACAAAGAAAAAATTATTTTTTTAAATTCATTTTTTATTTAAAAATTGTTACAGAAATAAATATAAAATATATATAAATTTAAAAACATTGTCAGATTTTTTTCAAAACAAGAGGTGACAAGATATTTTATTTTATCAGGTAGTCGATGAAAACATATAAACAAACAAAAGTTCTCGTGAATTTTGAATAATGAACGGAGAAAGTTAAAAAATTAAAATCAGTCAAGGCTTATAAATGAAAATGAGTAATTCAATTCGAGATAAGAGAGTAAAATTATACATACCGAGTACTTTGTCATGGAAAGAATATAAAACTCATTTTTGGGAGTAATATATATTCCTTCGGTCTCATAAAGTCCTTCACATTTTAAAATAATTGTGCCCTTAAAAGTCTTTCCTATTTCTATTAAAAAATCATTTTTACCCTTTACTTTTTCATACCTTATCGATCATATCATACATTTTTTCTAATAATCTACACATCACATCCTACTTTTACCCATCACATCTAGGGTATTTTTGGAAAGTCAACACAAAATTAACTCTCCTTATTTTACCACTTTAGTCAAATCGTCTCTATCTTTATGAGACGGAGGGAGTAAAATATAATTGCAGACATACAAATATTAAAATTTTAAAACTGAATATGAGCACGTGCGGTGCACGAAGTTAAATATAGTGTAGAATGTACTCCCCCTGTCCACAAATAAACTTCTCGTTCACTATTCACATGTTTAAAGTTTATTTACTTTGTTGGCCTATTTTCGTCACCCATTTGATGAAATTATATAGTCATGTCATCTATAGTTTTGTAGATCTTTTGATATAGTTTTTTTAATATGTAATTTTTATTTTTAAATTTTTTCTTCATTTTTTAGTCAAACATCATAACATGCAACGAGAAATTTATTTGTGGATGGAGAGAGTACTTTACTTTGTATCACAAACTAGCCGCTAGTCTGGGCACCGTAAGTTTGGGGGATGGTAAAGTAATACCCATATTAGAGCATTGGCAGTGGGCGTTCCAAACCATGTCATGTCATGCCACCTAGGACAAAAAAGTTTCCTTCCCAGCGTGGAAGCACCGTTCCTCCATGGAGTGCAAGGCTTGGGTGAGGCACATCTAACCTTTTTTTTACTTTTCAATTTTTATTTGAGAAAGATTTTTTTTGTATAATAATAGAATTATTTTTTACTTTCTCCATCTCGCAATAGATTATTAGATTATAACTTTTTCCCTCACCTCTCGATATCTTTTGTTTATTTGTATGTTTTCATTGGTTATTTAATTAAAAAAAATTTTGTCACATCTTTTTTTGTAGAATTTTTGATGTAATTTTTAAATTTATAAGTTTTATTTTTAATTCTTATACCAATTTTTAAATGAAATAATTTTTAAAAATAGAGAGCTTTTGCATCGTAATTCTAAAATAATAATCTAAATTGATATGATGGAATAAATAAAAATATGGAGTAGATAACAAAAACATTTTTAATAATTTATATATATATATATATATATATATATATATAATTATTTATTTGAGTAAATAGAAATATTTTCATGATAAAAATATATAAGTAAAATAATTTTTAATAATTGAAATATGGAAAAAATATGAAAAAAAGTGATAAAAACAATTACTTGCCACTACAAGACATGTCACTCCACTCACATGCCACTCGTTGACTGGACTTTTTTTTATTGGTTAAAATGCTCCACGTCAGCGTGTGGCATTCCATTTTTGCCTCACCATTGTTCATGCTCTTAGGTTTGGATGCTCCATAACTAATTGTCTCATGTTTTCACATTACACAACAATAATTTAATGAAGACCATGCATGTGGCTTTTACACATTGTATGTATTGCTTGAAACAAAAAGTGGCATACACAATTAACAACACAATATCAAATTGTGAAATTTGTACTAAATAATACTAAAACATACTCCCTTCGTCCCTAAATAGATTACAAATTGCGGGTTACGAAGTAAAATTTCCTACTTTTTGAAATCATTTTAATTACAAATTGGTATATCAATAGGATATATAAAAATTATATATTAAAAAGAGTAAAATTCCTAAAAGGTCCGCAGTTATAGGTCGTTTTACATATTTAGTTCCTACATATCAAATATTACTAATTTAGTTCCTACATATCAAATATTACTAATTTAGTCTCCAATTATTATATTCATTTCCACGAATGGTCATTTGTTAACATTTCCGTTAAGAACGTGGATAAAATTGTAAATTCACACTCTTCTCCCTCCTCAATCAAGCTTTTTCCCTCCTCTCGTACTCTTTCCCAAACTCGTCTCTGAGTTTGAAACTCTAAACCCAAAACTGAAATGATCATTTCTCTCTCAATTATTAGTCTTTCTGGTGGAACCTAAAATCAAAACCAATAAGCTTTATGACTGATTTTTATCATTTCAGTTTGAACAGCGTAACGTCCAGTGACACTGAGCATTTAGTTAAACAATGACGAGTGGATCGGACATGGAGCAGTGTTATTACATTGAAAAATGAAAACATATGATACCACATTGGGAAAGTCACTATATTTTAGTATAATTATGACATTTAATTTCCATCAACTTAGCACAACAAGCTAATTAATTAGGAAGAACAATATATATCATCACCACCTCTAGCACCTGATGATGATGATGAAGCAACAAAAATTCTTTGGCCAGGGGATAATATGAATTTAGGATCAAAAAGAGATTTTCTCATTTGGAAAAGGTTCCATTTTGATCCAAAATGGTTTGACCAGTCTTCCAGGGAGCTGTAATGGGGAAGATATTGCTTGATTTTGATGCCAGCTCCATTGCAGAAATCCAATATTTCTTGATTTTGCCTGTCTGCATCCTCCCACTCACTCAACCCACTTATTGAATGCAACAGCCCCACACAGTAAAATGTCTCCTCCTCTTCTGGGATTACTGCTGACATCCTATTGTCCCATCTTTTTTATATTTTATTTATTCATTTATTACAAGTTAAAAAAGAATATTATATCAGTCACCGCCCGGATGTGAGACACATGCAGGAATCTCATATTTATTCACCGTTAATCTATCGATCTATCACATTTTATTCTATCCTACTATGGACAAGATAATTGAAAAAAATAACACCTGAGTTACAAAATGATAGAACAAATGTTTTTTTATTGTACTAACATATTGTGTATCAAAATGCTAGTGCATAACTTTGGTGTATACTTTGGGGTACATTTCATCATAGCCGGCTCAAGCCAAGGGTATCCAATTACAGTGGGGGCCCACTATCTTAATTTGTGTGTGTGTGTCTATATATATATATACTCCCTCCGTCCCAAAAAGATTGGTACATATTGACTTTTTGGAAAATTAAGGGAGGGATATTTTGGTGTTGACTTTCCAAAAATACCCTTGATGTGATGGGTAAAAGTAGGATGTGATGGGTAGATTATTAGGAAAAAGATATGATGTGATAGGTAGGGTATGAAAAAGTAAGGGATAAAAGTGGTTTTTTAATATAAATGTTACGGATTTTATGGGACACACTTTTTTCGAAACGTGTCGGACTTTTTGGAACGGAAGGAGTATATAATTTAAATATTTATATTACACTTTCTGTCAACCAATTATATCAAAAGTCATACATCAACCGATTTGCTCTCAAAAATGCTAGAAGGACTTCACGAATCTTTGGCTAGTTATTAAGGTATGTAATTATAGATTTATAAGACTGTGAATTTGACTTATTACTCTTCTGATTACTATTGTGGAGTAATTTTTATTATTGTTAAGAAAAATAATTTATAGATTTTGCTTTATTATGACACAATGAGCTATTTTCTCAGTGTTGTCGAGGATCTCTAATTTATGAGGAGAGGGCCCTGTATGGCTGTATATAATGAAATACCTCTAGTATGATTGATTTTTTTAAAGAAGAGAGTGGGTCAGAGTGCATACTTGGAGGTGCGAGTGGGGTAGACAAGGATGGGACCAGATGTGTTGTTGTTGTTGTGTTTGAGAATGATGTCCAAAAAGACTCCCACATTGAAATCTAAGATTCTGGATTTTGGCACAAAAAGATTTAGCCATGGATGTGGCACATCCCACTCCCCTTTTTCCCTCAGCTTTACCTCACCACCCCTTACCCTATTCAGAAACTCAAAATATGATGCCTCTCTCTTGAAAACTAACCCTTCCTTGTAGCTCAGCCCTCCAACCAAACCCTCCATTTCCTGCACACATATATGTTAGAAATTCGGAATCAGTACCACTTGAATTCTCTGAAAGTGCGTGCAATCACGCACTTTTGGATTGAAAGTATTCCTCGATTCACAGGGATTTATGTTTCAATCGAATACAGTTCACATAGAATTAAAGAACAGAGTAAGAAGAATTTGTGATGGTTTTCGCGCCTATCCCATGACCAAACTTGCGAGCATGCTTTATAGATGCGGGGAAGGACGACGAAGAAGTTCCGTTCGCGACTCCCTCCAATGATCGCGTCTAGTCGAGCAAATTGGTAAGACGCGCTCCTTCGGGTTTTGTTTAGTACGATGTCCAAAAAATAAAAATTCAAGTGCGGAGCTACCTACAAGGGGCTCTGGCCCTCAGGCCCCGCAGGGGCTACTACCCCTTGAACCCTGCTCTCGGGGGCGATGCCCCCTTGGAATCCCTATTAACGTACTTAGAACAAAATAAGATCTCTGTTATAACAAACTCATCAACGAAGGGTGTGTACTACGCACCACACCAAACTTCTTTGATGATGATTATTATAATAACATTTGTCAAATAGTCATTTCGATTATAATAAAGAGATATGAGCAAAATAAGCATTTTTTACTACTCGAATAAGAATTAATCTTTTTTAAATAAAAAATACTCCCTCCGTCCCGCTATATTCGTCCACTTTTGACTTTTGAAACTGTTTATCTAAGCACTTTGACTTATCAAATTCTCTCAATGTGTAAGTCTAAATATAGTCATGCGTGATCTTATTTGATTTGTCTTAACATATAGATTATTAATATATAAATTATAAGATAAAATGAATTAAAGAAGTGTATTGGATGGTGTGCAAAAATGAAAGTGGACAAATATAGTGGGACGGAGGAAGTATTTTTTAAGACAAAAAAGAAAAGAAATTGTGTAGAAAAACGACCTTAGAAGAAGAAGAAGAAGAAGTAGAATCATCATCATGATAGTGCTTCACAATTTCCAAGGAGTATATTATGCCATGTTTGGATATCAATTCGGAAATTTGGGATTGATGGGATGTGGAGAAAAAGGAAGATCTCCAATTATTTGGAGAGCTTTGGTCCAATACGAGAGAGCCTTCCACATAGTCTAGCCCACCTTCATCAATTGAGATGAGGTGCTCTTGGTCTCTTGTGAACTTTGAGAAATCATCATAAAGCATTCTTACCCATCTCACCTACCAAAATAGTGCACCACATCCATGCAAAAATAAGTTTTATACTCCCTACAACATTTTAAAATAATTGTAGCCCTAAACATAATATAGAAAATTTATCAAAATAAGAGATCTGTGTTTTTATCCATAAAATAAGAGTTTATACTGTGGTAATATGACATTGTGTATAAATAATTCACAATATTTTTTGGTAATGTGTATACAGTCATGATTCACACTGTAAATACATTTTAACTTCTATTTTGAGAAAAAAAACCTATATTATCATATTTTGGTATATTTTCAATTTTTTAATCTTATTTTAGTCTCTTTTCTTAACAATAATTATAACAACAGCAATAATAATAACTTTAACAATTACAAAAAAAAAGTGGCGACAAACAGGCAACAAGCTACACAACAACTGCTTTTGAATAGCGAACCCCATTTTACGAAAACAAAAATATGGACCTTAGTGGTCGAGAATACTTCGTAATATTTTTAAACAATTAAACCGTACTAAATTTTATGGAGTAATAGAGTTGCTAGTGCTCAAATAATAATAATATTTCTAGAATTATCATTTTACTTCAAAAAATATAGAAAAATTACTTTTAAATTCATTTTATTAATAAGCTTTTTAAAAAATGAGAAGTACAAATTACATATTTCAAAATTATATAAAAAAAATTTAAAACAAGATGTGACACGAATAGTAACTGTGATGATAAATTCAAGATGAAGGGAGTAATAATTTTAGTAATAATAATAATCCCTTCGTCACATATCTTTTTTTACATTTTTATTTTCACTATCAACCTTTTTAAATTTTGATCATGAATTATAGTGAAAATATATTGATATGTGAAATTCATTTGATATCAAAAGATATATTTCGACACATAGTTTTGAGGTATTGTATTTTTTATAATATATGAATATATACGAATAGAGATATTAATGGTTAAAGTTTGTAAAATTTACACTAAAATATGTCTTTTTTAATTTGAATGTAGTACCTAAAATTTTTTATTCTCTAAATAGTACTTGAACAATATTGCCCAGTGGCGGGAAGAATTAATTGTCAGTGGCGGTAGAAACTTATTTTGAACACAGTCCAGTGGTCGTGGATATTTACTTGAATAATGACACTCCATTAAGAAATTAAAGCATATAGTATTACATTGAGAAACTCATTATGCTTTAGTGCTATATGAAAATTCTCCTTAAATTTTTGCATTGAAAATTGTGAAAAGTCAAATGAAAAAAAAGATCTAAGATGGAGGGAGTAATAATTTTAAACAAATACTGTATTGAGAGTATAATGAAGTTGATAATGCTCAAATAATGATAATAATACTCCCAGAATCATTGTCTCATTTTGAACAATGTGTAAAATTTTATCTCTTTTAAATTTATTTTACTAATAAATTGGTATAAAATAAAAAGTATAAATTAAATATTTAAAAGTTACATAAAGAGTCATTTTAAAAAAAGACGTGACACAAATTTTTTTTTATCACTTAGTTAATGAAAGTATACAACAAACAAAAGTTAACGAGAGTTCCAAATGATAATTGCGACAATAAATTTGAGGTGAAGGGAGTGACAATAATAATGATTACAACAACAATAATAATAAAAATACGGAGTAATAATAATCATAGTAGTAGTAATAATAATAATAATAATAATAATAATAATAATAATAATAATAATAATAATAATTGCAACAACAATAACTTTTAGATTGTTATAATAAAGACAAATTCTATAGTGGACCTAAGTTCCACCATAGACCTACAAATGAAAAAAATAAGTGTTTCTTTACTATTTAAATAAGCATTTATTTTTTTAAATAAAAAAGATTTTTTTATGTAAGAAGGTCCACAAAAATGATATGCGCTCAATGTGCACCAAAGAAGCACTCTATAATTTATACACTTAGTTATAATAATCCAGCAATCAAGCATTATCCTTAACAACATCAGAAGTTGACTAAGCCTCTCCCTTCAACACAATTATAATAATTGGACTTCAATTCGTTAGAGTAGTCTTTGTATTTTAGATAACTTCTATTATTTCTATTTCTAGTTGTGCTTGTAATATCTCCTATATGGCAAATTATTACGTTGTTTTAAGGTCTATACTCATTTTATGGACATTATACATTATATCATAAAATAATTGGGTCTTTGCAAAAAAAAGATAATATCCACCTGTCGGCCCATGAAAAGTGCAAGAAGGTACATATTTTACATGTGGACCTTAGGACTACGGAAGATCAACTCTTTTCAATAAGTGATTTTATGGTGGACCTTCTCACATTTTTTAAATTTTAAAATTGTTTATTTCCACACTCGAAAATGCTTATTTAGCATATATGGAGACGATCGACCATAGAGCTTAGATGCATGTAATAATTTCCTATTCTATTATATACTCCGTTGTGTACTCCATTATTTTCTGAGTAATACAAACGATTCGGTATTCTTTGAGTAATATAATACAATTATTTGAGTATTCTATTAATCATCAACAACAATAATACATATAGAAGAACCAAATGGTATATCAATTTTCTACAAAATTCTCACAAACACAAGGGTACGGTCAAAAAGTACAAATTTACTATTAATGCACCTAAATTTCTATTCATTTATTAAAAATCATTTTTTTGGTGAGGTAAATAAATTGTAAGATTGTTTATTTTGTAATTCTTATTTTCGTGACTAACATGACTCGTCATTCAATATATATTGTGCATTTGTGCTATATCAATAATATCATAAGTTACTTTCAAACAACTTTTGCTTAGGTGGATGACAAAGATATGTCTTCTTCAAACGGACGTATTAACTAACATTTGCCGGTCATATGCTCATCTTTAAAAAGAAAAGCATTTACGAATAGACAAAATTAACTCTATATAAAGAAATAAATTCTCAAATTTAAAAGTAAAACGGAAATGCTTATGATTATATGAAATAAAATACTCATACATGGGAAAATTTTAAATTTGGTTGAGTTCTAAAATAATTTGAATATATACAAATATACATGCAATTCATTAATTAGATTAATCATTCCAAAGTAATTTATCATAAATAATTAAATACGGAGTATGTATTAATTTTAAAACTTTACAATACAAACTATTTATTTAATTTTAAACATTATTTTATTTGTTTCAAAATTGAATACTTTGTCCCATTGTACTTTGCCGTGATTGAATTTTTTGGTCGAATCTATTCAATTTTGTGTATTCTGAACTACTCACTCCGTTCTTTAAAACTCTTCCGCTCTAAATTTTTGCGTACCTCATTAAACGCTTTGACTCACACCTAAAATATCTAAAATATACCCTACTATGTCGTTTATTGCGGGTAGAAGTTGTTTTAGGGGTATTTTAGACATTTTAGGTGGGATAGAAGTATTTTATGGGGTGCACAAAAAATTAAAACGAAAGTGTTTTGTGAAACGCAGGGAGTATGTTTTTGTTCTTTTAAAGAAATAGCTTCACTAATTCATAACATCCGTCAACAAAGCATCACGTACATATGAATGGTGATGAATGCTGGATGAACAAATAAACGTCTGCTCCTGTTGTGTGTGTGTGTGTCTATATATATATATATATATATATATATATATATATATATATATATATATATATATATATATATAATCAGATGGGTTAACTAGTAAATGAGCAACTTGATACTTACCTTTGTTGGTGCTCTTTCTAACACAATTTTTGCCCTAGTTATGATTCCAAACTGACCTAAACCTCCCAGAACAGCAAAATATAACTCTGGATTCATATTTTTGGAGCAACTTAATAATTCTCCCTTTCCTGAACAAAACAATAAATAAGTTGAAATTAAAGTTTAGTTAAGATGTTCACTACTCCATATTATTTAAACGACAATATAATGTACGTAATTAAGACATATTGTGCGTGTTTAGTTTTTGGCATTTAGGATGGCTTTGGGCTGTTTTGACTCACTTTCGCAGATTTGACTGGTCAAACAGCCAAAAAGGGTGTTTGGTAGTTGGCTGCAAAGGTTGCCTGTTTGAGTTCGAAAAGCCAAACTTTAAAAAGTTACAGGAAGTAGCATTTCGCTTTGGCGGTTGGAAAATAGGTTTCAATATATTATTTGTTATTGCATGTAATTTTTATGAATAAATAAAAAAATTATTATTTATTGCATAGTTAATTTAAAAAATGATAAATAAACAAATAAATCAATTAATAACTAAAAAAATAAATAAGTAAATAATACTCCCTCCGTCCCTAAATAAACTCCCCCTTTCGTTTTTTCTTTGTCCCCAAATAAACTTCTCTTTCCCCTTAAAAAAAATCCCTTTTACCCCTTACTTTTTCATACCCTACCTATCACATCATACCTTTTTACTAATAGTCTACATATCACATCTTACTTTTACACATCACATCAAGGGTATTTTTGGAAAGTCGATACAAAAATATCCCTCCCTTAAATACTCAAAAAGTCAAAAAGGAAAGTTTATTTAGGGACGGAGGGAGTATATCAATAAATAAATACTCCCTCCGTTTGGAAAAACCCTTCCCATTTTGATTTGGGGCAAAAATAAGGAAGTGTTAAATTATAGTTGATTTCCAATTTTGCCCCTAATGTGATGGATAGATTATTAGAGAAAAAGTATGATGTGATAGGTAGGGTATGAAAAAGTAAGAGTAAAAGTGGTTTTTTAATAGAAAATGGAAGTGTTTTGTTGGAAGTGAAAAAAATGAAAGAGAAAGTGTTTTTGAGAACGGAGGGAGTAGTAAATAAATAAATAGTCTTTTCCCATGTAAAATTCATGAATTGATTTGCGAGAAAAAATATTTTTTTCTGATTTTTTTTGAGAATTTGATGTAGAAATAAACAAATAATATATTTAAAAACTACATCAAAAGTTTTTTGAAACAAAATATGATACTCCGTATGAATATATTATGCTCTCAATTGATCGATAAAAACACATAAATAAATAAAATCATAATGACTTTAGAACAATATATAGCTTAATATTTTATTTGAGGAAAGAAATTAAAGAATATACGGAGTATATTGCAAAGCATGTTATACCATATAATTATATAGGTAAAATTTTATTACATTCAATTTAATTTAAAAAAGCTAATTTTGCCAATTAATTTTTTTATCAATAGCTGATATAATCGATTGAAAGCAGTTTTGACACAAAAAATGTCATCAGCTGAGTTATAAGTTAAAACGTGCTTGGAAGCACTTTTGATCAGTTTATAAGCGCAGAGAAACATGTACACTATATAAGGACAGAGAAACATCTACACTATATTTTCTATTTTGTAAAAGGGCTATTGTTTTTATGCTATAAGCAGATTAAAATCCATAAAATGAGCATAAACCTTATGCACACGAGTTTTGCATATACTTAAGTCTTAAAAACTCATCTTGCACGGAAATTATACTTAAAAGGAGATCTTCAATGCTCCTATATTTTTAAATAGAAAAAAAGTTTGGTGTACACCATTTGTACACTAGGGTTGTACTCTATTTAATATATTTTTTTCACTTATTATTTATTCTTATTAAAGTCAGATCACATCAATTCAGATCAGAAACAACTTTAAATATAACTGTAATGAGATTAGATTAGATTAGAGCAAACTAGACCAATGTTAAAAAAATCAGATCAGATAAGGTGAACAGAACGCAGCCTAAGAGTATACATACACATAAATAATGCCTTTTTATGCGTGCACACTTGTTGTAACACAAACAGTTTATATATAGACACAAAATAGTTATTTGTTTTTGTCTCTAACACACTTAGCTTGTTGTGTAAGTTAGGGATGAGGAAGTATTGAATCGAACCCAAAAATTCTCGAAAAACTGAGAAAAGTGAATAGAAAAATACTAAAAAAACCAAATTGTACTGAATTGAATAATCGGTTCGGTATTTAAAAATGGTATGAGGTAATTTCCTTACCAAAATTTACAAACCAAAGATATATACTACTAATATACTTTAAATATAGTATTCTTTTTATATTTTTCATTATATAATACAGAGTAAGTTTGTTAAAATTTTGGTTCAAATTTTCTTCTGTGTACATTGTTCTTTTATTCGAGTTTTAATTTTTTGTGGATGAATTAAAAATATTAACTAAGATTTGGAATACTATTTTGTTATCATTCATTCTCTTTAGTTTGTAAAATATAAACTAAGTTTTATAAGCTTTTCTTGAATTAAATTATTAATTTTTAGTTTTTTATGCTTCTTCATTTAAATGCATTTTTAATTTTTTAAAATACCAAACCATTCCAAACCATACCGAACCATAAATTCGAGATCGGGATCGATACGACATAAAATCTCATACCGAACCAAAGTATTTGGTATAATATCAGTACGAGCTAGATACTATACCATGTACATTTAGCGCAATCCTTTTAAATGCTTCAATTCCTCCGACCTAAAATGATCATCCTAGTCCGGTTTACGAGGTTTGACTGATTATTTTCAATTCAATTTATTTGATTATAGGTGTAAAATTAAAAATTTTATATTTTAAAACTGCATAAAAAAATTCTACAAAATAAGAGGTGACATGACTATGCTATTTTATCAAATAACCAATGAAAATAGATTAAAAAAATTCGACTAAAGTTTCACCGTGTGAATAGTAACTGGAAAAATTATACTCCCTCCGTCCCTGAAAACCTTTCTCCGTTTTTTTTTCATTCGTGCCTAAAAACACTTATCATTTCTATTAAAAAGTCACTTTTACCCCTTACTTTTTCATACACTACCTATCACATCATACCTTTTTACTAATAATGTATCCATCAAATCATACTTTTATCCATCACATCAACGGAAATTTTTGGAAATTCAATACCAAAATGCACTTCCCCTAAATCCCTGTTCAAAATCAAAACTCCCATGTTTTCCGGGACGGAGGGAGTATTCTAGTATGTGTGACGTAGGGAGTAATCGAACACTTAGCTTAAACAAATGTCTTTGTCCATAAAAGGTTAGGGGCTAGTCTATATACTATGCATCTTTATTTTGGACTTCATCAGTTACGTTGTACGTACTCCCTCCGTCCCAAATTATTTGTCACATTTCTATTACCGAGGCAAAATATCAAGTTTTTTCAATTCATTTTATTTACATATTGGTAAATAAATATAAAATAAAAATTATTCTTATCAAAAAACTACATGAAAAGTTTTTCGAAATAAGAGGTGTCAAAAATATTTTATTTTATCAAATAACCAATGAAAACGTAGAAATAAACAAAAGTTCCCGCGACTGTTGAAAAAGAAAATGTGGCAAATAATTTGGGACGGAGGGAGTAGTAATTAAAAGAGTGGTAACAATTTAGTGAAATCCCACAAATCAAGGTAAAGGATGATGGATTTACTAATAGGCAAATATTATCCCTTACTTTTTTAGAGTTAAAATGATAATTTAGGCCTCAAACACCTTATAGTCAAGCGATATGATGGTGACTCTCTTATTTGAGAGGTCACAAGTTCGATGCTAATGAGAATAATAATCTTACGTACGTGCTTAATAAGTTGAAATGTACAAACAAATACTATATTATAATAAAGTTAGTAATGTTAAAAAATGTTAGTGTAGGCATTCTAGGTTAAAACTTCCAAAGTTAGTTGTTCACTTGTCATATACAGAGTATTCAATAAATAAGTACTCCGTAATAAATAAAAATACGGAGTAGATTCTAAAGAGCAATATACCATGTTGTCATCATAAAAAGCATGTTACGGAATGATTTTAGTCAGAGTTTGTTTTGTTATGAAATAATTAAAATCAGCATTTATTGCTTAGATTTGAACAAAGTAAAACCTATGTCTGAACGAAAAACTTAAATTAATGCTCCGTAGCTATTACTCCATCCGTTCACAAATAAACTTTACATTGCGCATTACAATGTTTGATTGAAATTATTTTCAAATCATTTTATATGAAAAATGGTGTAGAATTAAAAAATAAAAATTACATATTAAAAAACTATATCAAAAGATCTACAAAACTAGAGGTGACATGGCTATATTATTTTATCAAATGAGTGACAAAAATAAATCAACAAAGTGAATAAAATTTGACCATGTGAATAGTGAACGTAAAGTTTATTTGTGGACGGAGGGAGTAACTTTTTATGATTTGACTATTGACATATTTACTTGTTGATAAAATTGTTTTTTTAAACCACATAAATATTTTATTTTTTTAATTTTTACAATGAAAAATATTTTAATGCACGGCACTAAACATGAACATGACCTATGATACTTCGTATAAAATGTATTTCCTTCCTCCCATAAAGATGTTTTCATTTTAATTTTTATGAAATTTAAGAGAGGAATATTTTTGTATTGACTTTCCAAAAATATCCTTGACATGATGATGAAAAGTAGTGTGTGATTAGTAAATTATTAGTAAAAATTATGATATGATAAGTAAGATAAGAATTACTAGTGGAAGATGTTGTTTTTTTAATAGAAATAGGAAAGATTTTATGGGATAAGAAAAAAAGAAATGAAAAGAATTTTTTGAGACCGAAGAGATTTTTCATATCACTCCGTGACAATCCATCTTTTTAGGATATATAGTGACAAACCATATTAGTGAGTGAGAAAATACTTGTATGATGGCATTAGATATTCTCTGATCTCTATCTCATAAAATTTTTTTTGTTTTGACCTTTTTCAAAGGAAAGTCTTAGAAGTTTGACAGAGAGAAAACCAAAAAATTGAAAGAACGAATAAGTAGAGTTTGAAAAATATCAAAGTATGATGTGATAGGTAGGACAAAAAAAGTAGGAATAAAAGTAACTTTTTAATATAAAGTGAAAGTTGTCCTAAAAAGATAGACAGTAGAGATGTTTTGTGGAAAACAAGTAAAAAATATAAGAGAAAATATTTTAAGAAATAGAGAGAGTACATTTAATAAAAACAAAAGTATTTGTGTTCATTTGGCCCAATTTGAAACACCTTTTAAGACAAGTAAATATTGTAAATTGAATGTTTATGTACTTATGTGGGATTGAGAGAATAACTAATTCTATCATCAACCACAATTGAATTTGAAATTGGTGGTATGGTACAAATAATTTTCTTTTTTATCCTTTTCCAAATACTTTTTTCTTTCTCTTTTTAGAATTTTTTTTCTTTCTAAACATTTTTCTTATTCCTAAACAAATTAAATTCTAACTACTCCCTCTGTCCACCATATATAGATCTTCCTAGACACTATTTACACGGTCAAACTTAATTAACTTTGTTTGTTTATTTTTACTACTCATTTCATAAAATAATATAGTGTTGTCTCTTCTAGCTTTGCAGAACTTTTCATGTAGTTTATTACTACATAGATTTTATATTAAAATTTTACCCCTATATTCAAATAAATTGAATTGAAAATAAAGTCGGTCAAACCTCGTAACGTGCAATGAGAAGATCTTAGGTGGACGGAGGGAGTATATAATTTGATAAAATTTAGGATGAGATTAGGGTTACTGGATTAAGCTTGTGTTAAACCATATTAGAATTGTGTTAAACCATTTTTATCAAAGGTTTGTGGTAAACCATATTTATCAAAGATTTAATTCAATCGATTATATCTAGTTTATCTCAAGAGTTTATATCCCTTTTAATTTTTTTCTTCACACTTGTATAATATACATAATCCTAGGAGTAAATTTCACTGGTGATACCTAAACTTTTGAATTTTTCAATTAATAAGTACCTAAACTTTATTTTTTATAAAGAAAAATACCAAAACTTTGCCAAATCTTTCAAAAAAAGATTTGAGTAAGACAGTGTACTAATGCTAGGCATGACAACACTCACCATGCAGTGCTACCTGATGATCCCTTGAGCAAAGTGACCCGTTGATGATGATATGAGGTTAGCTAGCTAAAATATTTTTCTTGATATATTTCGTAAAGTTTGATATTTTTTTTAATAAAAAAAATGAAATTTCGTTACATAATTAAAAACTTGTCCAAAATTCAACTATCACAAGTGAAAATGTGAGATTTACCTGGATGATCTAGTAAACTAGCGTCTCACTATTCAACATATATATTTCAACAATTTTAAAATGAAAAATTTGCACTAAATAAGACTAAAACATTAGTCATTTTTCAATGTAGAACTTAATTTTTTTATTCCTTAAATAATACTCCCTCCGTCCCAAAAAGTCCGACACGTTTCGAAAAAACTGTGTCCCATAAAGTCTATAACATTTCTATTAAAAAACCACTTTTACCCTTACCTTTTCATACCCTACCTATCACATCATACCTTTTTTTTCTAATAATCTATCCATCACATCCTACTTTTACCCATCACATCAAGGGTATTTTTGGAAAGTCAACATCAAAATATTCCTCCACTAATTTCCAAAAAAGTCAATAGGTACCAATCTTTTTGGGACGGAGGGAGTACTTAATAATGTCTAGCTGGAGGAATAATGTCCAGTGTTGATGGACACTTACTTGAATAATGAGTAACGGATAATGACTAATGGTCATACGTTCAGAAATGAGGTATTCACTCATACGTGCACACATATGGGGAAACGTAAGTTTACCTGTTATAACGTCCATTTCATGAACATTGGAGATCTGAGGGCCATGCCGGAAAGTTTGGCCGCTGATGCCGGCGTTTGAGAGGGTCCCGCCGACGGTTAGGTACAAGTAATCCGTCCACGACACCGGAGCGAGCCCGTACTCGAGACTCGCACGTAGCACATCAACCCACAGCTCGTCTCCCCCGACGTCGGCGAAGAACCCTAGAGAATCACTCCAAGAAACCCTAATCCCCTCCCCCCGCCTCCGGTTCCTACCCAAAGACGTCATTTCCACCACCACCCCACCCTTCGCCGTGGCCTGGCCACGGACCGAGTGCCCGTGCCCTCTTGCTGCCACTGCGAAGGGTGACGGGCTGTCGTGGGAAAACTTCACGAGGTCGACGATGTCCGAGACGGACGTCGGGTAAAGAACCGCCGCGGGAGGTTCTTCGACTATCTTCCCGAAGTCGGTGGAAGCGGCGGGGCCCGGATCAGAGCGCAGCCTCGACGCGAATCCGAGGGAGAAAATTTCGGGAGGAAGCGGTGAGGAGGAAGAGGAGGAATTAGGTTTCTTCACTTTTCCCACAATGGACATTAAACGGGTGATGATCAAGAAAATAATAAGGGAGAAAGATGAAGAAATTGGGGTTTCCATTTTCATTTCCCAGGAGATGAAGGAACAAAAAGAAAAGCTTATGGTAATGAGGTGAAGAGGTATGAAGAAAAAATGAGATTATTTATAGGGAAAATTGATTGTGTGTGAATGAATCATGGTGTGGTCTGCAGGGGGCATTGCAGAAGGAAATCTTAGGTGACAGTGAATGAAATCTTGAGAATCATAGATGTGACAGTCAGTAATACTCTCCCTTTCACATTTCTTCCTACTAGACTCGTACCCGTGCGTTGCACGGACAAATTATTTATTAAATAATCATCGAAAATTTTGACAAAGAAAAATGATAAAAATACTTACAAATAAGATAATATAATATAATCCTAAAGAAAGAGAAATATAAATTAATAAACAATATCGCAGAGAAGTGGTATAAGTTTTAATTTTTTTATAAACTACATTTATAGTTTGGTTCGACAGTGCAAGTCTTTATTGGAAATCAATATCTTTAATTTAATCTTTTGCAATTTACAATTTTTAATTTAATCCTTTGTGATTTAAGTGAGCATGACCGAATATTGATTTCTGACTAACAGTCCAACATGAAACGAAGATTACTCTTGATTTTTGCTAATCGTTATTGCATATGAAGTCATAATTAAGAAGAATTTACTTTGAAATCATATATGTTCAAAATCAGAAATGGTACCACATTGTCAATGGTACGCAATGTCACTGGAACAGTGCTTTTAAGAATGAAAGCTTAATACAAATAAAGTAAAATTAATGTATGGTTTATAATAAATTAAATAAAAATGCATGCATTTTTTGAGTAGTGTGTGTATGTGCACGGATGTAAATGGTTCTTGAGTTTTATACTTTTATTAGTTATCAATATGTGAAAAATTGTACCTACCCATATATATGATGCTCTTTATAATTTAAGAATTTAACTTAAAAGAGTTGCGCCATGTTCTTGTAGACTCTAATTATTAAATTATAAGATAACATTTTCTAACAATCTCAAATTTGTCTCAAATTTGTTTCAAATCGGTCTTTTTGAATGTGAAATATTATCGTGAAAAGGAAGAAAGTTTACTTATGTGAAAAAATGAGTGCCAAAACTATTACTCCTTTCAATTTTCTCACAAAACTATAATTAGAAAGAGAAATAGTGTGAGAAAATTTTAAAAATGAAATATAATTTTTTTTAGATCACAAAAATGAAATATAATTGTCTTTTCTAAAAATAAGAAATTTTAAAGAACAGTATTTTTATCAATACTTCATTTTTCAAACTCTTTAAATTTTCTCAAACTTTTCTAATTTTTTTCACTTCTTTGTAAAATTTTAAAAATTTGATGTTTTACAAAAAAAACATCCCAACATAAAATTTTCAATTCATGTGAAGTATGGAAAGGAAATTATTAGACCACATACCACATGCCACACTTTTTACCCGCAAAAAAGTTCAACTTTCTTTTTTCATCCATCCCAAAAAACA